TCCCTTCAGGCCATATTCTAGAGGGAGCATGTCTTTGCACACTCAGAGGTCACTCTGAAATTTTCCTGATCAATGAACACGTCCTCTGATAGGAATTTACTGACTTTTCCTGAGAAATATGGCTATCACTCTTTGCTTGGCCATTTTGCAAATCTAGCTCATGCACATATGTAGATTGTTAGAATTCCCACAATTTCTGGGAAGAACCCTCCATTTTCCATGTTGTTTTCACTTGGTCATGGTTTCCCCTTGCTAATAGTCTTGTGCTCATTAACATCCTTGTAAGATGACTGTGCACTGTTATTAGTTGGTCCTTTTCTCCTTATGTGATGGCCTGTTGCCACCTTGATTGCTCTTTTATTCGGCCCAGAGCTTCTCCACAGACTTTGTCCCTGCAAAGTGGACCTTGAGTGATAGACAGGCTTCCATTGGAACTTCCCCAGAGTTTAAAGGAGAGGAGACCGGGATACACGTCATTGTAACACAAGATAAGATGTCACTGAGTAATGTGAGATAGGAAAAATCCTGGGGAGTTTAGAGATTCCTTTTGGAGGTGATATGCAGTTCTTAAAGATGTTTCTTTATTTTTTTAAGTAAACATTGTCGAAGTGCAATGTATTTTTTTAAAAAAAATTAATACAGACCTTAAAAAAGAATCACTGTTTTTAATGGTTGGCACCTTTCCAATGAATGAATATAGCAGGATTTTAGGTTTGTTTTTATTTTTTTTTAAAGATTTTATTTATTTATTTGAGACAGAGAGAAAGCATGAGAAGGGAGAGGGTCAGAGGGAGAAGCAGACTCCCCGCTGAGCCGGGAGCCTAATGAGGGACTCGATCCTGGGACTCCGGGATCATGACCTGAGCTGAAGGCAGTTGCTTAACCAACTGAGCCACCCAGGCACCTCAGGATTTTAGTTTTTGAAAGAGTTGTTTGGGGTCAGGATTCTTTCCAGTTTCTGATATTACAATAAAGTTGCTTCTCACCCTGGAGATGTATCTGTGGATCTCAGAGAATGTATTATTTATATGCTTTCCATAACAAACATGAATGCAGAGAAGATGCAGAGGAACAATTTTGCATCAATATGGGAGTTTCTCTGAGCTGTTAAGTTCTCATTTTATATAGGTGTTTTTGAATGCTCAATGTCAAATTGGGAATATAAATAAAACACAATTAAAATTATGAAGTTTCTGTGAAGATGGCCAAAAGAACATGGGAGTAACAATATTAAGGACATTTTTGGAAAAGCTTAATGCCCGTAATGATACTTTGGTGTAACCATTATCAGAAATCCAGGGTATCATTTATAGCAATGGATTACAGGACCAGCATATAATTCAAATCCCTGTCCATTAAGGGATTTGATGAATTTCATTTTATGTGGAAATAATATCAGGCTGTGGACACAGTCCTATTTCCCATCTGGGATCTGTGTTTCTGTGGCACTGAGATGATTCTAGTCTGGGAGGCAGGAGAGGATCGGCTGGGACATTGATGCTTCTTCAGGAGTTACTTTCAGAAGAATCTCTCCTTTCTGCCAGTGTCTGTTTGGGTCTGCCTGTGACCCTAGGAATGCTGTCACCATGTCCATCCATGATGGGGGTCCCCTAGATTTTTGAAGTTACATAAAACTGATTTAACATCAAGATACTGGAAACACTCTGGCTGTCCCTTCCCCCAGATCATCTACAGTCTTTAGCTGCTTGGTGGCACCAGATGATTTCAAAGCCTGTAGGTAAAATGTTCGATTATATCACAGTTCAGGGTAGAGACAAATTGGTTACAGCCTTGAGTCAGTACTTGGGAGGAAAGCTCACAAAGAGAGTCAGAATATATCCTGCTCATGTGTCACCATCAGTAGCATAGTCCTGGGGACCCTGGGAGGTGGGACATTGAAAGAAACCAGTCTTCAGGGGTCCATGGGACAGAGGTAAATGGACTTTATCCCATGTCCACTTTCCATGGCATGTGCATGTGTTTTATTTCTTGAATGTGTCCTTTCCCATGTTGTGAAGTCATTCCAGAACCAAAGCCTCCATCCCGTTTAGCTGATGGAAAGTTTCTTGATTTGGGTTTCCATCCTGAGTTGTACCAGCTTTCATGTTCAGGGGCTGGGACACACACGTGACAGCTGTCTGGTGGGACAACTGTGCATGGTGTGGCTCAGACTCAAACAACACATGGTCGTCACATCCACAGTCTCCTGGCAATGGTGAGAAAACAGTGTCCTCATAGTAAAATTACACAAACTCTCAGAGATGCATGGACTCCGTTGTCCAAAGAAACTCCCGCTGGCACTGTGGGGTTAGGGTCCCATGCATTCTGCTGTGGGGACATTTAAAAACGGTTCATATATCATACCCATCCTAAACCAACACAGTCAGGCTGCCTCTCCACTCTAAGGTTTTGAAAGCTTCTTTTGACTTTTAGGAAATTCAGTCTAATAGAAGAAAAACTTCGACACCTGCTGGATGAGTACAGGACTTGTGTTCTGTCTCCAGATCCCCCAGTTTCCATCCCTGAATGATTTCTCTGCATCAGGAAGACTGCCAATGTGCCATACCATCCAAAATACACCTGCTTCCCCTGTAGAGAGACATGGTGTGGTGCTAATAATGTTCCTGCAATTCTTGTCCTTTGGGAGCACACATCATATCCTGTTCAAAGCCCTGGGCTCACTGCTGGGAGGTGCATTCTTCTCTATGCCAGTTATCGAGTCAGGTTATGTACATGGACCGCATATGTGAATCATTACTTACTTACTTACAAAATAATATAATAATTGCATAATACTTAATGGGATTGCACACTCAAACAGCAATTTAATCATAGGACCACTGGATCAGGGTAGAGAGGGAAATAAATTAGGATATTCTGAAATACAACACCAGATTTCAAGTCTGAGCTTCAGCATATATAGCAGAAGGAATTTATCAAACCCTCTTTGCTATAAGTAAACACGGGAGGGAGGAAGTGTGATGGTGGAGGAGTAAGGGTCCCTACACTTGTCTCAACCCTGGAACACAGCTAGGTAGTTATCAAGTCATTCTGAGCAACCAAGAAATCAGTCACAGGTCTGAGAGAACAAAAACTGCAAGTCTACAAATCGAAAATCAACCACCTTTTGGAATGCAGGAGGTGTGCAGATTTGTGTTGGGGGAGATACAAGTGTGGGGATGACAGCAGGGAAAGAGCATACCTCCTGAAGTGACCGACAATGTATTATAGCAGCAGAGAGCAAAACCTGAACTTTTAGAAGTCCGCTACTGTGGGGATGTGCCTGGAATAAAGGTGCTGAAGTGGTAAAGTGAGGCAGAAATACAGGGTCTGAGGATCCCCTGAGTCCTAAGAAGAATGTGGGGCACCAATGTGATGCACAGTTACTAGGCATAGGAGCCTGAAACCTGGTCAAACTGTGCATCTAAGTGCAGGCTTTCTGCTCTGCTTTGCCATAAACGGTGAACCACTGTGTGGTCATGGGACCTCTTCCCTGAGACCTGCAGGCAAAAGGCAAAATGGCTATGAGACCCTCCCTTGGAGAATAGCATGGGTCCACCCCGTGGGAGTCCCTAGTTTGAAGCATTGGAACTCAGTCATGTGCCTGAGATAGAGAAGCTCCAACACAGGCAGGGTGAACACAGGGTTCTCATGGAAACCGGGCACAGAAGAGGGTTGATTGCTCTCCTGTGAGGTCTCACTGAGGAGTGTGGGGTGCGAACTTCCAAAACCGGTTTAGAGAGCAGATGCCATATTCAACCCACCCAACAGTGCAAAACAGCTCTACCTATTGGAGGCCAGAGCTGCTTACACCAAGCCCTGCACCCTGCTCCCAAGATGTGCATTTCCACTAGGCCAAAACCCCTGAGAATAATCACAACAGGCACCTACCTGCCTGAGATCAGCAGAATCTATTCCATCTCACCAAGTCTAATGATCATTGAATGCTATGAAGTTTCAGCTCTAGGGGAAGTAGGATCTAGCTTTCTTTCTACTTGTATTCTTACATTTTTTTATTTTTTATTTTTTGATTTATTTTCCAATTCTTCTTTCTTGATTTTTATTATTATTTTTTTCTTATATTTTCTTTTTCATTTTTATTTTTATAAATATACATTTATTTCTTCTATTTTTCCTTTATTTTATTTTATATTTATTTTAATTTATTTAGTGACCTATATTCTTTTTTAGAAACAGTCCAAAAGAATCCCAGGATCTTCATTTATTGACTCTTTTCCCTTTCTTTTTTTATTTTCTGAAAAAAAAAAAAAAAGAAAGGATGGAAAAGGTTACCCCAGAGGAATAAATAGGATGTAAATCTCATGGCCAGGCTTTTAATCAATACAAATATAAGTATGATGTCAGACCTAGAACTTAAAACAATGATTTTTAGGATACAAACTGGGCTTGAAAAAAGGATAGAAGACATTAGGAAGGCTTAATTGCAGTGATAAATGAACTAAAATTGAATCAGGCCCAAATTAAAACAAAAACAACAACAAAAACCCACAAACAACTAAATCCAAGATGCAATCCCAAGTGCAGGCCATAAAAAATGAGGATTCATGAAGGAGAGGAGTGAATCCATGGTATACAAGATAAAATTATAGAAAATGAGTGAAAAGAAGAGGGAAACCAAGGTAATGGGCCATGAAGGTAGACTTAGGGAACTCAGTGACTTATTAAAACATAATAACATTTGTATCATAAGAGTTACAGAAGATGAAAAGACATAAAAAGGGGGATTGGATTTATTCCCTAAAATAATAGCTGGAAAGTTCCCTACTATGCAGAAGGACACAGACATCAAAATCCAAGTAGTACAGAGTACTCCTATTAAATTCAACAAAAGCTGACTACCTACAGGGCATATTGTTGTCAAACTCACAAAATACATCACAGACGAGGAAAGAATCCTGAAAGATGCAAGGGAACAAAGGTGCTTACCTCAGGGCTATCAGTACAACACAACTCTGTAAGGTGATGATCAGACTCAAATCTCACATGGTGATCACATCCTCATCTTCTGGAAGATTCAAAAAACAGCATCCTTAAATTAAAGTTCCACATACTCTAGGAAACCCTGACTCCCTTGTACCAAGTTTCTCCTTCTGTGTGTCCACTGTATCTTCTCTCAGAGTCCTAGGATAGTCAACTGGATAGTCCTATGTGCAGGAGAGAACATGTGAGAAATCCACCCTTGAACCTCACTGAAGGAACTTACCAGGTACTTTTCCCCACAAATGCAGCAGGGAAACACCAGAGCATCAGCACTTGGGTTCATGTGTCATTCATGTCTCAGTCTGTTCCAGCTGCTGTAACAATGTACACGGACTGGGTGATTTTAAACAACAGACACTCATTTCTCCCAGTTCTGGATTGTGGGAAGTCCAGGTCAAGGTGCAGACAGATTTGGTGCCTGGAGGGCACCCACCTCCTAGTGTGTTCTTTCCTTGACACCTCACATGGGGTCAGGGGGCAGGGAACTTTCCCAGTCCTGCGGTATAAGGGCAGTAATCCTGTCATGAGCCTGCACCCTCCTGACCTAAATGATTCCCTAAGGCTGGTCCTCCTCGATCCATCACAGTGTCCTTAGGATTCAACCTGTGATGGTCGAGGTCATACACATTGAGCTGATATCAGCAACTGAAAGATAAGTAGTTATTCCCTGCAGGTGGAAGGCTCCTCCCATCCAGCACCTCAGCCTGAGGATTCTCATGGATCCAGTAGAACCTTCTGGTCTCTCAGTGCACCCAGAGAACACAAGAACTTCAGAACCAGTTTGAGGCCTTGGGGAGTGGACAGCTTCCACTGCAGACTCGGGTAGAACTTGGTCTACTTCTATCATTATCTTTTTAGTTGTGATGTTTCCGTGGATTATTCTTCTAAATTTCCAAGGATTCGTATCATTTTCTACTTAGAATGGCCATTTCTCTCCTTTGTTCTTGCCATTTTCACATGTGTATACTCGAATTAGTCATCACAGGGTATCTTTTGATAATTGCCTGTTAGCTCCTTGACCTTCATTCCTCACTCTTGTCTTCCTGCCTCACAGATGGAAACTCTAACAAGAACACACCAGTTCTGCCTCCTTTGATGCAGGTGGGAGACTGACTCCACATAAGCCCCTCCCATGAGCAGGACCCCATCCCCACCACTGACCCACAGCACACACCCTGAACCAGTGTCCTTCCTTGGCTCCATCCAAGCAGTTATGACTTGAGGAGAGGCCTGCCCTGCTCTCAACAGACAAGATGGTAAAGGGGATGAGAATTTTATTTTCTCATGTTTGTGTGTTTGTGTGTGTGTGTGATCAACAGATTCTACATCCACACCATGTCCTGGTGGGGTTCCTTCTGTTCCCCACGCTGCCACTAACATTGTTGTGAACATGGTTTAAGACAGTGAGCCCCACCAGGGATCTTTCTTCTCTGGCTTTGGATTGTTGACGCCACTGTAGCCCCATATCCAGAGTGCACTTCTTGCAAGCTTGCACACTGAGCTGGATTCTCCTATGATACACAGTTGAGTGCAGCTGGAACTCTTAAAAGTATTAAGGGTTTTCCATGGAGATATTTGTAATTCATTCATATTTAGGTCCAGGAACAAGCAAGTGCAAATGACACTGACTTTGGCACTTGCTGGTATAGCAGTTTTTCAGATTTTTATTTGTGTCAGAGAATGAATAGGTAGCACAGAACTATGTGTGCAGAGAGGCTCCCTGGGGGAAACAGCTATAATTAGAGAGGAAGCCCCAGATCCTGAGAGGAAACTGCCATATCCTCCAAATGCACCTGCTCGTGGGGCTTGAAGACAGAATTGGTGAGTAGTGAACACCCCCTGGTGGTCCTGGTCCTCTTCTACAATGAGGTTTGTGTCTGGGCTCACACTGACTTCCCCTCACTGTGTCCTTTGCACAGTAATACACGGCCGTGTCCTCGTCTCTCAGGCTGTTCATCTGCAGATACAGCGTGTTCTTGCCGTTGTCTCTGGAGATGGTGAATCGGCCCTTCACGGAGTCCGCGTAGTATGTGCTACCACCACTACTGCTAATATATGCGACCCACTGCAGCCCCTTCCCTGGAGCCTGGCGGACCCAGCTCATAGCATAGCTACTGAAGGTGAATCCAGAGGCTGCACAGGAGAGTCTCAGGGACCCGCCAGGCTTCACCAGGTCTCCCCCAGACTCCACCAGCTGCACCTCACACTGGACACCTGCAGACACAAGACATCCTGGTCAGGAAACTGTCACACAACCACTCTTTCTCTCACTCACATACTCTCGTACACTCAAAGTCTCTTGTTCACCATAAATTACCTTTCAAAAGAGCAACAAGGAAAACCCAGCCAAGTACAAACTCCATGGTGAGTTGTCTGTGCTCTGTCCTGATCACAGAATGGGAACACCTGGGGATCCTGGGGCTGGGGCTCCTCTCCCAGCTGCAAGGGTTTGGGCTCAGCTGGTTTAATCAGCAGAGGGAGGACCCTATTTGCATGTCCTCTGAATATATATTCAATTTGGGATCTGTGCTGACAGAGAGGGCAGTGTCCAGAGCAGGTGTGATTGTCGTTGATGTGGTGCTCTTGATCACTTTTGAAAAAATATCATTTACTATTTGATAACTTTCCAATGTATATTCTTGGCCTCCATGTGCTACTTTGTTTTTACATATAAACATCAATCTTGGGGTTTAGGTGTCATGTTCCCCTTAAGTGATGTGAACCTACACCTAGAATTGTGGAAGGTTTGTGAGTTGTCCAAGAGCATTCATGGGGTGAGAGTGAGCACCAGGATATAAGTCGGTGCTCCTTCCACAGTACTGTGCTGCATCCCTGAAACCCCCCTTGGGACAGAGTGGACAGGCTCATGAGGAAGGTGGAAGCCCTCCTGTAATGGGGACAGGATGCTGGTTCTAGAGTTTACCTGAAATGCAGAGAGAATCAGGATTGTGAAGGTGTAATTTCAAGTCTCTCAAATTTTACTCTATCTGTGTTCCTCCAAAATCATCTCTGTGATTACCTATAATAGCTTCGATGTGTGTATTTGTCACAGGATGAACTACACACATGCATAGTGTGGGATATGATAAACACTGGTGTCAAAATCAATATTATTGAGAGTGAGCACATCAGTTCTCCCTAAAATGTCCTGTACTTATCTTGGAATTCCTCCTCCCTCTTCCCTTCTTCACCCTGTCCTCACATAACTATTGATCTTTCTCATGTCACCTTAGACCAACTTTAATTCAGTAGAATTCATAAATAGATAATTGTATCATATGTACTTTCTTTGTAGGGCTTCTTTGGCTCAGCATGAATCCTTGTGCGTACAACCATGTTGCTGTGTGTATCAAGAATCATTGGTTTTAATGATTGGCAGCCCTGAAGGTGCAGTCTCGGAAGCACCAGCCAGAGAAGGATCTGAAGCAGCTGAAAGAAGCTGTTTGCTTCAAGACTCATCCACACACCCTCCCATCCCAGGAGCTCTTTGTTCCCAGAAAGAGGTACAATCCCTTGCTGTTTAGTAACATTTTCTGGTGGCTGTGGAGAAGAGAACCAAGAGGCAGAGTAGGTGGACAGGAGAATGTTGAGGTAGAAGCTCTGAACGTCCAGTTGATGGAAGAGGCCAGGAACTGGGATGAAGAGTAGTGAGGGAGGAAGTGGCCATGTTGCAGAAGAAACCTGTGCACAAGAAAATCCAACCCTCAGTTACCAGGGTGTGGAAGCTACGTCATGTTCAGCCTCTGACTGTGCCCATATATCCCATGTTCTCCACTAGATTCCAGTGCTAACCTCAGGTGTGGGCTGCAGGCTCCACCTGGGCACAGGAGCTGCTCTGTATTTCAAATTAGGAACCTTCTTTCTCTGTCACCAGTGCATGTAAAGGACCCATTTCTGCAGCCACACCTCCCCGCATCCGACAGAGCATACCTGACATGTATGGACTCTCCTTTTAGGAGAACTGTTTTCCTACAATACTGAGACTCATAAGGAGGCTCCACACATGTGTGTCTCCTACTGACTCCAAGTACTTATTTACTTTGAGCAATCCTAGACCTTGACTGTGGGTTTTAACTCTGGCTAGAATGGTGTCTGTATATGGACAGTGCAAATCTATTGCCCCTCTATCCCCCGCCCAGTTTTCTATTTTAATTAGAAAATAAGGACCATCAACCACTAAGTTAGGATGTACATCATGTCTTTCCTGAGGAATAATACTGTGTATCAGATTCTGTCCTTTTCTTTGCACAAATTGCAAAGGAGACAGGCACCCCAATGGGGATGCATCGGGAACTGTACAACCAGGAAGAAGACTGTGTGGACTCACAAGGAGCCTCCCAACAACCATGTCATGCTTTTCGGCAGAGCTGTTGTGAAGACACATTCCTCCCTTGTAAGTGCTGATGATAACAGGGAACACCGGACATTACACGCACACGTCAGTCCTCCCGCAAACTGGAGTGGATGCCAGATATTTGATTCCCCTCCCTGATTATGTCTCATGATGTTTTTAACTCTGTTTGCCCCTTTGTAGGTCACTTCTTATTGGGGAAAGTGGGTAGTTTGAGAGGAGGAGTGTCCAGGAACTCTGGAAATCACAGGTTCTGTCCTTAGAGGAACATGTGTAACAAGCGTTTCCTGTGCATCCCTGTTTTGTTAGCTTCCTCCCAGGATCCGCTCCCGAAGGCAACCATGTGTTCTTGGCCTTCACACAGGCCTGTGCCTTTTTCACTAAATGTGCTTTTTTTCTCATCTGCTAAACATCCTCATAAGACTTGTTTCAGCTCAAGGAAAATCTCGTCAGAAGTGCTTCTTTGACCGCCTGGCCTCCTCAGATGAGGATGCTCTCTCACTTCTTTGTGGCTCCCAAATGCTCCCTGTGTGCATCTCCCTCAGAACAGGTCCACCACCGAGGCCCTTGCACTTGTTCACCAGCTAGTAGAGGCAGAGACGACTCCAATTTTCTCACTCCTCAAATACAGCAGTTATCTTCATCACCTTTGTCCTGTGTATCACTGGTACAGAATTCATTCAGTCCATGTTGAGTAGTGTTTTTCCTGTAGACTTGACATGACTTATGGACTCTACTCTTACTCATCACCTGCTCCTGTACGTGGGGATATAACAGCATCCATATTCTGCCCAGGTCCGTTCTAGGCACCTTGTAAGTTGGTAAACCTATCTTACATTCTTTCCGCTACATCATTCAGTGAACCTTGTGAACAGGCCATTGTAGAGTCAGTGATGATGACAAAGCAAAGCATGATTTCCAGAGCCCTGGGCCTCCTGAAGACCCAGAAACAGATGCAAAATGCAGTTCCTTTATTCCTTTCCCAGAAGTCTAAGGTACAGTTCCATAACTGCTTATGTAATGCATTAACAAATATTTATTCTGATTCTAACTGCACAAACGATGGCCCTGCTTAGTCTCCGTGAATACAGCAATGAACAGAAATAGAAGAGCTTGCCTTCATGGGGCTTACCTATGAGGAGGGAAGACAGACCATAAGCAAGTACCCATCCTCTCTTCCTCCACAGGGTAAGATTTTCTTGCTGACCCACAGTGGTGTGGAAAATAGGTGGGCATGGCATAGGGACATGGGAGTTTGGAATCAGGTAGGTGAGGAGATTCTTGCTGGTGTAAAAGTGAGAGTTGATAGGAGCTCAGTCCAGGGTGGCAGCAGTGAAGGGGTTGGAAATGGTTGGATTCTGAGTGTGTCTTGAACTTGTAACTGGCAAGACTTGCTGACTAACTGGCCATAGAGTGAGATAAAGAGGTAGTTAAGGAGGGCACCCAGCTATCAGCCCCAGAGACTGAGGTCTCTATCTTTTGTCCTTTGAGAAGCCCAGTTCCACCCCAATCCTCATATCTCTTGTGAATTCCTGGAGTGTCTGGTCATCTCTGGTTTTGCTGTTCCTCTTTCTGTTCATCCTTTGGTCCCCTCTGTATCTGTCTGTCCTCTGTAGCAGCTCCCCTCCCACCTTGTATTAGCAGCTTTCTGATGGTTCATATCATTCCTATATTTCCATCTGGTATCATTTTTGTAATGTATTTTGCCCATGTTCTGTTTTTGGTTAATTCAGATAGGAGATTACTCAGCTATTAGATAGGATGAATAACCATCATTTTTATCGACATGAATGGAACTGGAGGAGATTATGCTAAGTGAAATAAGTCAAGCAGAGACAGACAATTGTCATATGCTTTCACTCATATGTGGAATATAAGGAATAGTATGGAGGACATTGGGAGAAGGAAGGGAAAAATGAAGCAGGGGGAAATTATAGGTGGAGGAGAACCATGAGAGACTAGGACTCTGGGAAACAGACTGAGGGTTTCAGAGGAGAGGAGGGGGAATGGATGGATTGGCTGGTGATGGGTTTTAAGGAGGGCATGTATTGCATGGAGCACTGGGTATTATACACAAACAATGAATCATGGAACATACATCAAAAACTAATGATGTAAAGTGTGGTGACTAATGTATCATAACAAAACAATAGAAATCTTATTATTCCAATACTTAGAATTTAATAAGACAAAAATATTTGCAAAGTTAACTATGAAGTGCTTAATTCCAAAGTATTTTAATCTACTCATATCAATTTGAACATGAATATATACAGACGACTAATAAATAATTTGTAGATATGGTATAAAAAAGGAATAAGTGAACCTTCAAGTTGAGGTTTCTGGAATGAGTGTCATCAAGAAGTATGGACTGGATGGTACTTCTACCCCGTTTGCTCCATTCTGGATTACCCCATCCAGACACACCCATGTTGAGGTCGTCATGTGTGACCATCCAGAGGGATTATATTACTTCAGAGCAAAGAGCCCAAAATTGAGACACAGGCATCCATTGCCTCCCGCTTCCCAGAGTCCCTTTGCTTCTGAGTGGGCTTCCAGGTCTCCCCATTATGGCCTGCCTAGAATTGGGTTCTCTTTCTCTCTCTGGACCATCCATTGCCTCCTGCTTCCCAGAGTCCCTATGCTTCTGATTGGGCTTCCTGGTCTCCACATTATGGCCTGCATAGAATTTCATTTTCATAAAATGAAAGGATGGAAAAGTTTACCCCAGAGGAGTGAATAGAATGTAAATCTCATGCACAGGGTTTTAATCAATACAAATATAAGTATGACGTCTGAACTAGAACTTGAAACAATGATTTTTAGGATACAAACTGGGCTTGAAAAAAGGATAGAAGACATTAGAGAAGCCTTCATTGCAGTGATAAATGAACTAAAATTGAATCAGGCCCAAATTAAAACAACAAAAACAGCAACAACGACAACAACAAAAACCCACAAACAACTAAATTCAAGATGCAATCCCAAGTGCAGGCCATTTAAAATGAGCTTGGATGAAGGAGAGGAGCAAATCCGTGGTATACAAGATAAAATTACAGAAAATGAGTGAAAAGAAGA